AACCATCAGGCGTGACTCGTCGATGAATGATCTGACCTGCTATCTAAACAGGGCGACAATCCTTCAACAGGCTCTTGCACATGGCCGCTTGACGCTGGTCGCTGCTGTTGCGACATCGGGTCTCGACCCCGCGCCCACCGGAGTGTGTCAGGTGTCGGTTCGGGCGGACCTGGCCGAGAGCCCTGTGAGTGGAGCCTGCGCTGACCCAGCGGCCACAGATAACTGTCACACCTTGCTGGGCTGGAGGATAGCAAAGGTTTCTTCCGGGAAGTTTGATCTTGCGAAGCGTATGTGTTACAAATATGGCATAAGACTTTTCCAAGACTTCTCCACTCGTATGGATGTCAAAGCATTTCTGGCTCTCATGTGGTCTTTTTGTTTGTGATTCTGGGACAATAGTTTTCACACTGACGGTAAATGAACGCCAAGATAGATAGATAGATAGATAGATATATAGATAGATAGGTCCATGCCAATGGCTGCAAATTGCAACTCTGAAGTCGTGAGTTTTGGTGGCGGTCGCGTCGTTCTGCTAGGTTGATCGGTATCCCTTCTTAATTAGTAGGTGCACAAGGTAAGCTACAATATCGTCGGAAAACCTCAACGTCTGATATAAAGCAAACTTCGCAAGCTGTCCATCTTAACCCGCTCTGACTATGCTTTGCTTTTGTTGCCTCGCACGCACTGCAATTTTAATCAAATCTTTTCAATGCCCAATTGTTTAACTCCCACTTAAACTCACGCCATTGGGTCGGGTCAGGCTTTGCATCATATGACAAGTGTCCTTCATGATTCTGGAATGTTGAACAGCTATCAAACAGCAAGACGGTAACGCAACACTGATGCCCTAAGTTGATTGTCGTTCTCCCTTTTTCCTGACTGATTGATTGTTTGGTTGATTGACGCGTGTTTGGGTAATCCTGAATCAACTCGGGCAACAATCCATCCTCAGTAGATAAATAAACGGTTCATAGGTCATGAGGACAAGAGTTATATCCTTAAATGTCTCACGAGATGTTTCTTCCAATGCCTTGGAGACAAAAAGAGACAAGCGAGGGAAGTCGAAGATAGTCCGGGTGTTCATCATGCATATTGGGTGCACGAATAGAAAAATGTCGCTTTCCCATTTCAGTACGCGAACGAGGTGCAAGCAGATTCCTGTTCTGTCTCGTGGATCGACCGTACACTTCACACACGGTGCGGGCTTACGAGCACGTTAGTCAGGCTCGCCCGAGTGGAGGATCTCGTGGGTGAGTGAGGTGGTGTGATACCCGCCTGGGTCTGCAGCGGGGTGCCAGCCAAGTCTCTGATGTAGGTCCGACACATAGTCGATTTTTTGCGGCCGAAAATGAGTTTTGCAAAAACGTTTAACGCTTTTGCACCTTGAACTTGCTACACTGTGAGCCACTTCTGTATACTGATGTGTGATAACGGACCTGTGACAGAAAAAAGGCGTTCGCCAGGGTGGTCAAGACATTGGCAGGCAGGCTGTGCTTCACCTGTGGTGGACCAGCTAAGATACCGAAATAGCATTTACTGACATGCGAGACGTAGGAATGCCAACTGAGATCGTGATTAAATACAACTTCGAGGTTCCAAACAGGACACAAGGAGGTGATCACGGAATTTGGCATCGAAGCGGGGAACGGTGCGGGGATTTGGTTGGCTTCTAAGTAACATCAGCTGCGTTTTATCGGCTTCGGCTTTAAGGCCGTTGAATCTGAACCAATCGTCAAGTGAATCCAAGACAAGTTCAGAAACAATGGGCTCATGCAACACTAGGTCAGATGATCTCAGGTAGTGAACAGATCAGCATAGCAGCCTTATCAAAATAAGGCATCCCCTTACTTGCAAAGGATCATTGTCCTAACGTACAATCGTTCATCAGCTTCCAGGGCTTTGTAACTAGGTTACTCTGGATATCCTTATAATCACATCGCAATAAGAAATGTACCACTCTTGGAAATATGTGAAGCAGCCACATGGTGAGCTCAAGACTGAAAAAAATATGGACAGCTTCAAAGTATTGGTGACCGCACCTCAAGAAACTTAGTTCCGAGCGATTTAGTATGTCTGCTGCATTGTGACACCATTCAGCAGCATTTTTACCATTTTAAAATTTTGCAAGGTTTGATTAAACGAATTATTCCAATGACATTTGACCAGGTTCAGCCTTTCCAGGTTTCTTAAAAACATGGCTATAGGCGTTCATAAAAAGTGTTTGAGGTTTTCTTACAGTAAGGTATCCCTAACGAATGCAAAAAAACCTTAAATTGTCTGCTTCATATTTTGAATGGATCACTGATTCGCTTCGTGCAGGTAGTATCCGTTAGTAATTTTCAGCACGCTTAGCGGGTCTCTTTCTCAAATATCAGGCAAACATGAAAAGCTATATGTCTTACGTTCTTACGTTCAAAAGGTGCGCAACAAAATACTAGAAGTGATGTTTCATGGGCTATCTCTCACGGACAGGAAACTTCGGAGCAGTACCTATCTGCATTTATCACACTTAAATAGGCCGAAATGGCAAGCGTTTACACTTCTTTTGTGGCAACCGCTGACGTTCGTAGCCTGACAACTATAACCTGAACGGCGTAGAGTTTGTGCCCTTGCTACCTGCTGTAGCATGTGGGCCCTGGCGGAGGTTAAGTATGCTTGTCTGTGGCCAGTGTGAGTGCACGCATCCGTGTACAATATGCGAGCTGTATGGGGACGGTGCATCTCCGTCTGCAATCTGCATCCGTGAAGACGGTGTACACCCGCGGTGACCTGTGTGACCTTCTCTGCGTCTTCTCCGTCTCCATGGTGACAGTGCACCACCCTGCGGGGTCCATGTGAGCTCCATGGCACCTACCCCGTCTCTGTGGTAACAGCACACCACCGCGGCGGTGACTGCTGTTCTTCCCCGCCGGGTCACACAGTGTCTGCCAAGAGTCGGCCGCCGGGTCACACGGTGTCTGCCAAGAGTCGGCCGCCGGGGCAACGGTGCAACCATGGACCAGCGACTGGCAGGTGCCGGCGGCGCTGGAGCCAGCGTTGGGGCCGGTGCCGACCGGACCGCCGTGCGCCGCTCCGACCTCATTCAGCTGCAGGCGCCGAGATGGTGGTGGCGATGAGATGGTGACGCTCGCCGGTATTCCCGCGCCTCCACAGGGTCGCCTGACAGGGGGGGGGGGGGGGAGGCCGGGGGCGAACATGTGAGAAAATCCACGGCCTAAGCGATGTCGATCATGGCCGCTATCCGTCCTATTCAGTTTGGACTCGTCGGCTTAAATATTCACTAGATCCCGAAAATGTGTCAAGGGACTTCTGCTGGAAGCCGTACACTGTATGCTGGACTGCAGTTGCGAGCATGTTGACACGAGACGCGTCATTGACAGGAGAATGGGTCAGCCCTCCCTCCGTTACTCAACCCGGTATGGTAGCTGAAATCGTATGCAATGCGCATTCCAAAGTCGTTAGATACACGCCGCAAAATAATTGGCCGATGGTAAATGGGACCAGGCGTGCCACCTTTTAAAATCGGTCGGAGGGCTCAACCGAAAAAGTTGACCTAACCCACCCCAAAGCCAAATTTCTACTTGAATTTCCTCCACCGCTATTTGCGTCCTCGATTTTGAAATTTGTAACCATGTTTTGTCGTACTTTGTAGATTTAAATCGTTTTCTGTGGAAGAATAATTCATCACTTCACGTGAATGTGAGCTGCCTCCAGCGAAAAACTTACAGTGAGATGTGGTTCATAGACAGTCATCTTAGTAAATATAAATAAGAGATCACTGATAACTATACCTGTCGCTGATCGTGTTGTACAACCACAACAGCCATGATTATGCGACAAATGCGCTTGTCACTGTTGGGGAAAAATGTGTTGACTTTTGTCTGGCCCACCCTGGGCTTTTTAAAACTGCCACAAATTTCAATAAACTGTGTTTTATCCCAACGCAGGCGTTGTTAGTTAAAAGACACGTCAAACATTTTCAGACTGGCTTAACATCTGAAGGAGTGAGCACGACACAAACATCACTCACCTGCAGAATACTATTTGGTTCAAAATTAGCATGTTACTAACAGTGAGTTTTAGGTACGTATTGCATAGAATATCTCCATTTGAGATAATTTTTCCGTATTTATTTGGCTCAGTATTTCCTCTTTGCTCATATACATTGAAGAGGCTCAGAGTAGCATTCGGGAGGGGTTCAAGTCAGCATTGGGGGTTTAGACCCACCCGAAAAGTATGCAAAGTGCCAGCCCTAAGTGTGACCAAAGCACACTTATTCTTTGCTGTGTAAGCTCGCTTGAATTTGCTGTTTATTGTGCAAGCCCGCTTGAGTTCACTGTTTGTTGTGTGAGCCCGCTTGAGTACACTGTTTGTTGTGTAAGGTCGCTTGAGTACAATGTTTGCTGTGTGAGCCCGCTTGAGTACACTGTTTGTTGTGTAAGGTCGCTTGAGTACAATGTTTGTGTGTGAGCCCGCTTGAGTACACTGTGTGTAAGGTCGCTTGAGTACACTGTTTGTTGTGTAAGGTCGCTTGAGTACAATGTTTGCTGTGTGAGGTCGCTTGAGTACAATGTTTGCTGTGTGAGCCCGCTTGAGTACACTGTGTGTTGTGTAAGGTCGCTTGAGTACAATGTTTGTTGTGTAAGGTCGCTTGAGTACAATGTTTGCTGTGTGAGCCCGCTCCCCAGTTTTGCCAGTTCAGTTTAACGGACAGCTTTGCTGTTTTACCCCCTCGGCTGACTCCCAGCTGACCGAATGCATAGGGTCGGTCTGAATAGATCATTCTCACTGTAATTCGAACCCGGGGTCCCGGACTTAGTACGCTACATCCTGTTCCCTTCGCTACGAGGACGGTGGTTTTAACATTGTCCCAGCACCGTAACCCATTACGAATATACCCACTTGATCATCATGCATTCGACGCGATAAGCAATCAGGCATGAGATCGGCCTGCGGCAGGCTTCATCTCGTCTCTGCTGGTTCCATTAAAACACAGTTAATGTCACTTCGTGTGTGATTTGTATTCCAATACCGACAGCTCATCACGCTTACGGCACGTCAGGTGAGCTCAGATATGCACAGGCGGCGGCGGCGGAGCCATTCTGCTTGACCTGCGCGACCGTGCGGGTCAACCAGTACATCAGCAGAACGGTTCCGCTCTTCCACATATATACCGTGTGACCTGCCCGCATACCTCCCCCCCCCCCCCCTTCCCGACACCTGGCGACGAGGCCAGAACGCCAACACGACGCAGTCAGGGACACTGTTCCTGCACGGCCAGCGCGGTAAAAGCACGCGCTGACTGTGATAACTACACGCGGTAACGTTACGACCTCCGCGTACTAACGACATGCGCTCGGCTACGATTTAGGTGTAGTAGCAAGCTCGTCGCAGTTACGATCCCCGCGCAGCATCCATGCGAGCGTCGTTACAGCGTCGGCGCCGTTTAACAGTGCCGGCCGGGCTGCGGCGCCAGTCAGTGGGTCACCGATGCGGTCCACTGGTCACGGGTAGGGATCACCGGCTCTCGGGCGGCGCAAGAACCGATTGAATGTTCGGTTCGTGCAGCATTACGGACACGCTGACCTGTTTTGATGGGATCGAGCGAGGCGCGCGCTACTAAATACCGCCTCAGAGGCCGGCGAACCGCACGCTTCGGTCAGGTGGTACAAGTTTCCGAAATGCTGCTATTACCAACGTGGACGATGATGACTCGTTGGATGCTGACCACCAGCCATGATGAATAAATACTGAAATCGGCATACCCCATGACACCTTTGGTCATCAAGGCCGAAGCTGAGCCAGCCACTGCGCCGCACTAGGCTCACATCTCTCCAGGAATACCTGGGCGTCTTCTAAGATTATTACATTCGAGCATGACTTAGAAAGACGACGAGCAGCCCCTCTCTTCTCCTTGTGGCGGTCCACACGGGCGCGTGTCGCTGGCGGGTGGACTGCGGGCCGCGCGGACCCCGGACCGACCACTACGTTGTCGGCCGACTCAGTCTATGGCACTGGCTCGCAATGTCTCGGGCGCGCCAGTCGCAGCGAGGCGGCGTCACTCGGAGCCCTTCACGAACTCCGGGTTTTCGACGCCGTCCGCGAAGGAGGCCGCCTTGCCGCCGACGGTGCGCACGCGCGAGAAGAGGAAGATAGACACGATGCAAGCGACGATGAGCACCAGCAACAGCATGATGAGGCCGGCCACGAAGCCGGGCACCGACATGCAGATGCTGTGGCGCCGCTCCAGCGCCTCCGGCGACTCAGACACCACCACTGTCTCGTTGTTAGCGTTGAGGCTGAACGCCACGTCGCCGGGCGCAACCACCTGGATGACGCGCTCCGTACGGACATCGGTAGACTGCGGGGCGTCGCGGCGACGGCGGCGGTGGCTGTGGCTCTCCGCCGCGCGCGCCGCCTCTGCGCCCAGCCGCGTCAGCTCGGCGTCGCTGATGGCGCGCGGCTGGCCTGAGATGGCGTGCGTCGCATCGGCGGCGGCGCCTGACCGGTCAGCGGCGTGCGCAGGCAGCATCGGCAGCCGCAGCGCGCCCGGCCGCAGCGGGAAGGAGGCCGGCTGCGGCAGCTCGGGCCGCTCGTCAGCCGCCGCGCCCTGACGCCGCTCCAAGCTGGCCGGCAGGGCCACCTCGTTGGTGTCGGTCTCGGCCGGCCGGGGCTCGGCCACGGACGCTTCCTTGTCGCTGCCGGCCGCCTGGTAGTCGCCGGCGGGGTGGCGGGGCCCGACCTCGTAACCCAGCGCGCCGCACGCCGGTTCCGGGCACTGGTAGCGGCACACCTGGATCACGCACTGGAAGTGCACGTTCATCGAGTCAGGAAACTTGAACGCCTGGAAGTACGCGTAGGAGACCACCGACGCCGACGAGCCGAAGTTCTTGATTTTTTGGAACTTGGACATGACCTTGGGTCGGGTCACGCAGCCGTTGGCGTCCACCAGCTGGATGGGGGCGCGGTGGCCGTCGTGTGCCACGCAGTTGCGGACTAGCATGTCAAACTTGTTCTCGTCGTCCTTAATGGCCAGCACCATGGTCATGGTCTGGCCGATCTTGACGATGCCGGACACCTCCGATGCCCACGGGCCCTTGCCGACCTGGATCTGCATCCAGCACTGCAGGTTGTCCCCGAGGAAGTTGGCCGTGACGGCGTTCAGCATGTCCACCTGGAATGGCTTAAACGTAACCTTCTTCTCGTAGTAGTCGTACCAGGTGCAGCGCAGCTTGCGCGCCTGGTCCCACACCTCCTGCACCAGCGGGTCGTACTGGATGATGATGGTGTTCTCCACGAAGCTACCGGCCGGGTTAGGCTGGCCGTAGCCGCCTGAATCAGAGGCAGCCATACCGCACGAGTTGAGGTAGATCTCGAACTGGGCGTTGAGCGCGCCCGAGCCGGGCTGCATGTGCACGCAGCTGGGGTCCGAGTAGTGGCCCTTGCTGAAGATCATGCCGTAGAACGGCCGGTCGAAGTCGACGCTGACCCGCATGTTGGACTTCTCGCACTGCACCTCGATGTTGCGGATCTGCGGCATGTCGGGCGCCGGCAGGAGCCACGGGTCGGCGCCGATGACGGACGGCGGCGGGCCGTAGCCGTCGGGGTGGGGCGGCCCGAATGGCGGCACGCCGTAAGAGAGACCGCCCAGTAGCGGGCCGCCGCTGCCGCCGCCGCCGCGGTGCTCCGCCGGCAGGTGTGCCGAGCTGCTCAGGTCGTCGCAGCTCGCCAGCTGAGAACGGGCAGAGCGGAGTCAACTCTGGCGCTGACGGCCGCCGGAGGCAAGCCGCGCTGGTCACGGGATGCGAAAGCAAACGGAACAGGCATAAATGTCCGTAACGATTATTCGGGCGGCTGTTGAAAGCGCATGACAAACAACAACCACGCTTTCAGGTCATCACAAGTCGTCCTGTGCGGATTGCAATAGCCGGGGTGCAATCTGCGGGGTGGTTAGAGTATCTTCGGTTTTTAAAAGGCTACCAGCTGCGATGAACGTGCGCGATGAGAGATCAGACGCAAAATCCCTGTCATAGCTCTTCATCGGCCGAAGCAGTGGCTATATTGTTGTAAGCATGATATAGTTAAACTAATAAAGCCAATAAAGGGGCGTGCTCGACACTGTGTCAAAAGTCGCTCGACGTCGAGAGGTGCTTTGGGGAAAATTTCAAACCACCATTTGGTCAGGCACAGCATACCTTTGGGTCTGCATGTGGTCGCCTTGTTTCCTGTAGAAAATGTCTAAGGTTATCAGGTTTCGGCGGCAAGCAAAGAAGCTTGCTGACCGCAGCGCAACTGAGTGTTTACAACTTACCGAGTCTTTACGGCGGTACCATGATGACCTCGGCGAATGCTGCATCGTTTCAAAAAATAATGAAACCGTAGCAACAAGAGAGCGACTGCTCACCGCCATAACTTAGCTAATCATCGGCGCAACTAAACTTACCTCGGGCCCAAATAATGATGATTACCGTTGTTGTATGGCGAGTGAGACCTACTCGGCGGCCAACCATTGCCTGAGGCGGCCCGCCGCCGATTGGGTGGCCGTAGACGGACTAGCGTGGTCAGGCGGCGGCTCTCAGCCACGTTCTCATTGGGTGACCGTAGACGGACTAGCGGAGTCAGGCGGCGGCCTCCCAGCCACGCTCCCAGTGGAGCCGGTTCTTGACGGACTATCAGACGGCTAGTGAGGCATCTAGGTAAGCTCGCCTCTAATCGCTGGCTGTGGTCGCCGTGTCCTCTGAGCGTACGTGAGCGCCAGGTCGCCGGCGCAGTCCACTCCTACTCCGGTGGCAGGCTCGGGATCGGCCTTCCCTGGGTGCTGTGACGGTCTATTCCCTTCCTTCCGGCTTACGGTGGAGCTAAGGCTTCCCCGCAAGGACGCACGGGCGGCCGGCGGCGCGACCCGGAGATCTGCTGACGATCAGCGGCGGACCGGGCCGGGCCGGAGACGGCACGACCCGGAGATCTGCTGACGGTCAGCGGCTGACCGGGCCGGGTCGGCGGTGGCGCGACCCGGAGATCTGCTGACGATCAGCGGTTGACCGCGCCGGGGGCGGCGCGACCCGGAGATCTGCTGACGATCAGCGGTTGACCGGGTCGGGTCGGCGGCGGCGCGACCCGAAGATCTACTGACACTGACACAGCCTCGGCCACCGGAAGGTCCGTTGACGCTAACACAGCCTCGGCCATCGGAAGGTCCGCTGACGCTGGCATAGCCTCGACCACCGGAAGGTCCGCTGACGCTGACACAGCCTCGGCCATCGGAAGGTCCGCTGACGCTGACACAGCCTCGGCCATCGCAAGGTCCGCTGACGCTGGCATAGCCTCGACCACCGGAAGCACGCCCGGTAGCACCGTCGGGAACGCTGTCAACCTGGCTGAACTGTACGTTAGGACAGACTTATGGGTAGACGTGGCACTGTTTGTGCGGAGGGAAATCGCCAACGGTTTGGTAGAGTCATTGGAAACTTGTCAGGTGCCGGGAAAAGCAAAAATGCGACCCCAGTCGGGGCATGGTCATATACGGGCGCATTCATGGTCGCCCCTTTCTCTTGAATTTAACCGCTTGGCCGCTGCTGCCGGCGACAACGAACATGAGGTCGAGCGATGGAGGACGCTGGAATGTGATGCCCAGCTGGTACGGCGCCGACAGATGCGGCGCCCGTGTGCTCTGAGCGGCGCACGACTGAGCACCTGTCAGAGACCGTTGTCCCGACCGCTGGCCCAGTCTCAATAGGGCCGAATTACCGTGTAAGCGACGGGAACTTTCCGAACAGGCACGGCCAGCGGTGCATCGTTGGCTTTCGATCACCAAACCACATGGTAATTGTTTTTGCTGCAGTTGGGAAAAATGGTGACCTCTTTTCTTATAACAGCGATTGTCTCTCTTCGACGAACGCGTGAATGTGTTGCGGTAACTTCCCCAAAAAGGTTCGTGGGCAGCTATTTACTGCACACAGAAAGCAGCACATTTCGGGGTTGATTACACAGGATAGATATTTTAGTTGTGAAAGTTGTGCGATTTGCGAGCTGATAGCAGGCAGTAGCAGTGGTGCTGCAGCATTTTCGTTGAATATGTTGTTCTCATCTTCACTAAATGGGCATGTGACTGAGAAGTATAGAACCCACTTGGGCTTCGTTGTGCCGCTCTTCCGAAGAACCGCATGCCTCTCCACCATAAAAACAAGTTCGATGAAACCACAGAATTCAACGAAACCAGATTCTTTAAAACATCACAAAAGTATGACCAGCTCAAGGCTGTATTGCATTCCCGAAACCAAAGGTGTGAAACTAGGCAGTCAGCGGCATCGAATGTCGCCAAGAATCTGCATTGGACTGATGCCCTCGAACATCAACGTAAGTGACCTTTGATGGCTGGAATAACGTCAGCGGGATCAAATGAGTGGGCCCAAGCACAGGGAATTACGCGTGCTGCATCAATGTAAGCAGTGATATGATCTGCCTTCGCACACTTGAGCATGCAGCGACAGTAACCGATCTGTGGGTAAAGCCTGTGATATTTCGCCTCAGGTCATGCGAACCCAGTCATGTCGAGATGTCAACCCACCTCCTTACCAAAAGAAGGCAAGCAAGGTACGAGAATGAAACAAAGGACACTGGATGGCGCCCCTCACACAATATTAAACTTTGGCCGAAATTACCTAAAACGAGCCAAGTTAAAGTCCTGGGGGAAATTAAGAACCTCGCAATGGTTGGGTTCCCATTCAGAGCATACAATATTTTTCCATGTTTATCCGGAATTGACCGCTGGTGCATTTTTCATTCGATATTAAGTAACGCTAGCAAAGGCTGATGACACTTAAAACATCGGAGAATTTCGTGTTATTGTCTCTTTTCCTTGTTTGGCACAACCATGCTTTATCAAAGCATAAGGTATGCGCCAAAAAGATAAGATATGCACCCTTACCATGAAAAAGTGAGATCACGAATACCTTACGTTGGTCGTCCCTTTTATCCCTCTCCGAGGCGCATGTATCTTTATCTGTATATGCACTCTGGATAAGTGCACCAAGTCCCATATGATCTAACCGGCCCGTGATTGAGTGCAGTGATGGTCCTGCTATGCCTCGTGCGTGTGTGCGTGCGGGCGTGTGTGCGTGCGTGCGTGCGCGTGTGTGCGTGCATGCGTGCATGCGTGCGTGCGTGCGTGCGTGCGTGCGTGTGTGCGTGCGTGTGTGTGTGCGTGTGTGTTTAATATAACCAGCGTGCCAGCCATATAACCATAACCAGCCATATAACCCGCCGGCATTACACCGTGCGGCACTGGGTAAGCGACGTGATAAGACAGGCAATGGTTTGATTGCAAAACTCTACGTTTCAGGCAATGCTCCTGGTTACGAGACGGAGACTAGTCACGGAATACTCGCTTGACCTGGAGCCCAGTGTGAAACGTCGGGTTTTGCAATGCATTCGTTGTCTGGCAAACAATGTGCTTAACCAGAGCTCCCCGGTATATTGGAAATAGATTATTTTCAGCGTAAGAGCTCTGACATCATAATGCCAGAGAATCTGGAGCTCAAATTGTTTTTGCCTTTAAGAAGTATTGTTAATTTCAGCATCATGCGTTTAGTCGTCCACGAGCTATGAAGAGATCTCCTGGCCTCTGAAGCCGCCTCATCGAGGTCTCTGAAGCCGACCATCAAGGCCTCTGAAGCCGTCTCATCAAGGCCTCTGAAGTCGTCTAATCGAGGCCTCGCAAGCCGTCTCATTGATGCCTCTCAAGCCGCTTCTCGTCATTTGAGGGCATAAATATACGATGCGCGAGATATTCGAGCATACATGTATGTCTGCGATAGCAACATATGAAATATATCTTTGAATTGGAAGAGGGGATACAGCACCAAATCTCGAAAAGAACATGGCGCGAACATCGCGCCGTTAGCCGGAAAAACAAGACAGAGGTTGCTTCACCGTCAGGCGGAGGCATTGTTTCGTTGACTCTTACTAGATGCGACAGTGAGCAACATGGCTGAAACTGGGTACTGCTGCACGCTATACCTAGACGATGTCATTTGTTAAATATAGAAATATTACTAATGCAATTTGCGCTAGAGATAAGAGCAGACGATACCAGCAGCGAACAACGAGCAACACGCCTTTACAAAAGACCTGTCCTCTCAGCTTGTCAGATTAGTCTGAACATTTTATCAGCTATCAGCACATATGTACGACGACATATGTGCCGTTTTGCATAGCACTTAGTTTTTGCGCGCACAACTGTACCGATGGCCGCCTTGTCATGATCACACCAGCTGGACGAAGCATACACTTGTTTATGTACGCTTAGCCATTGCTGTACGCGCTGTGCAAAAACCTGGGGCTTTCACACCACTCAAAATCGTCATGGACCAGTCGTCTGGCCACAAATTAGGAGAAAACGCATGCAAACACGCGGGATGGACTTTTGCTTTCTTCCCGCACGCCTATTCATGCACATTTAGCCCCACCTTCTCTGCACGTGGGCTGATCTTGATTCACAATTAAACGCTCCTGAAGCGATTGTCCTTTCACAAACACTCTTTAAGTGCTCTGTCACGCGTGGCGAGCACAGTAGGGTTAGTCCATTTGGCATGGAACACACCTTTCTTTTGTCATTTTCCTATCTAGCTCAGGGAAAGCAGCACTCCAACGCCGCAGCCAGTCCATCAACGTGGTTATTAGAACCGGAGAATGAGGTAGAGGCGGTCTGCATTATTCCTAAGAGGCCATATAAGATGGCTGGTCAATGTTTTGCTACGCATCGGTTTGGTAAGCCAGTGGTTACCTTGTCGGAGGACCAATATCGGTACACTACGAACCTGCACCAGGAGAAGTAGGCAAGCAGGAATCCGGATGCCCATCATTGTGTGAACCTGAAAAAAGAAGAAATATGTAAAGGTTATTGTCAAGCATTTCCATTCAGCATCGCTGTTTCCAAATCCAAGTGAAATAGCTGTGTGTTGTGGATCACAGCCGTGCTGCAGCCGTAGCGCACACGTCTCTAATGGTGAGATCTAGACTGGGGTGTCCTCCTGGACTTGCTTCGAAGTCAGATTTCGTAAGGTGTGCTCGTGGTCGGATCTGCGTTCAGACATTTAGAAAGGATGGCTTAAATCGTTTTTTTTTCAGCACAATGTTCAAGCTCTTTGCAGGTTTTAAGACTAGTGTCAGCCAAATGTTAACACGCGCTCGGGTGGGGGTCAAATTAACCCCCCGAAGGTTTTTTCAGAATGGTTTTCGAACGGCGCTGCGTAGCCGTGCCAAATTTAGGGCACCTGTAGCCAGTTAAATAGCGGATCGTCTGGCCTCATAAATTTATATGTACCCTGTAAGGTCGCTGAACTACGACAGGTCAAATTCAGGCCATGGTTTCAGCAAATGCAAACTCTAAGGCATGGTTTAATCTGGTACAACAACGGAGTGTTGGACGACGTCATACAACTCTGAAACACTTTCTTAGGCAACACAACAATTGAATGAACAAATTGCATTGGCCTAGAATCAGGTATGAAGGTCAGACCAAGGTAAAAACCAACTTGTGTTATTACTCTAGGGCTTACTATATGGGGTGGTTTCTGGCGCCCATTCCGAATTTGTCGATAACAAGAACCGCATCATATACCTTCCATGGACTTCTTAAAGGTCAGAAAAGGTCACTGACCTTAAATTATCCAGGTCAACATTTTGTTTTTAGGAACATACCGCCTAGCGTAATTTGTATCGGTTATTCGAATGCAAAATTCAAACCAGCCTTGCATGATTTTGGTCACCATGACCTTTGAAAAGTCGGACAGGGTCACTAACCTTAAATGGGCATGTTACATTTTGCTTAAAGCAGTTATCTAGGTTCTAGTGAGCCCTTAGAGACCAACCTGGAATTTGACCTTGTTTGGCCTTATTTGATCTGAAGGTCACGATCTAGAAACCTCAAACTTTGACCTAAGTGAGTTCACGTGCAGGTAAATACACTCTGCGAGTTTGGTATCTCTAGCTTTCTTAGTTCTTCTGAGACCTCAGGGGGTCAAATTGCCCCCTCCCCCCCCACCCCACCCCCACCCCCACCCGAGTGAAGAGTGTCCGACCGGCCACACGAGGACGTGTTATACTCAGTGAATTGTCTTTGTGACAGCGCGTTATCAAAAACAGAAGTTAACCTTTTGTCCTCCCCACGCTTGCACCGATGCGCTGTGGGTTTTCGTCCCCCATGACATGTTCTGTGACTTAATATGATCTTGAATTCGGCTTGAAATGAAGACACTGTCCAGCAAAATCCTGTCCAGGACCTACGAACTTATCTATCTGTGATTGATATACGTTTTACATCACTCCGTCCTGATAATGTGGATAGATAGCTTTCTGCCCCGTCAGGTTTGAGTTGGAGTGGGACTGCGACAGCACTAGAATGCTAATGGATGCTCTATGAATGCTACAACCTTTCCAAACTTCGTTAGTCTTCATCTGGAAATCATACAGCGCAATATCAGAAACCCACCTTAAAGGTTCATGACAGATGGTGCAGCAGTACAAACCAATGCAAAGGGTTCTCCATTCTTCGCAAGTCTAATGGGATGGATGCGCCGCACACTATTCCTGTCCGAACGGCGTGAACGCAGCACAGAAAACTATCCGAAGACCTGAACGCAGCTGATAAATGCACCCGGCGAGGAGCGGCGCGTTGCGCATTTTCAAGCCATCTCGCCGCAGCGTGTTTGCATGTGAGGTATCACATAGAACATGATGTATGTATAGTCCGGAAGGATATTTTCGCGACTATCATGTTGCTAACAGCACGTGGGGCTTCCAAGATGACGTGTAAAGTGATAACACGGCCGCTGCCGCAATGCGCTTGACTGTGCCTCTGTCGAGAACAACACTGAGCACCAATGATGAGTGGTGAGCCTCAAACAACTTGCGTCACCCACTCGCGTGACATTACTAGCGTGGCAGATCTAAACACCGCGCGAAAACACCGTTTTTGTGTTTATATCGCCCAGTTTACATCGTATATCGTCCCAAAGCACGATCCCAAGATCCCAAACCTTCGGAACACAGCTGCATGCTTCAGTACATAATCTCCTTTCTAGGTGTCGCGTATAATACTACTGAAAAGGACACGACACACGTATCTGCCTGTGCTTAAACACGACCAGCATCACTGAATGGCTCTCCGATTTCCTCAGCCGTTCCGGCGTGGAACGCCAAGGCTCTCCGATATCCTCAGCCGTTCCGGCGTGGAACGCCAAGGCTCTCCGATCTCCTCAGCCGTTCCGGCGTGGAACGCCAGGCGCGCAGGGCATAGGCCGCGGCCCCGCGCGACGGCTTGAGGCCCTCAGGTATGGCATACATGTGGAGCAAACACCAACCCTGCTAATGACCCGTAGTAAGCCGTGCGGACATAAACAAAGCGACGACGACTCACTTCTCGACCAGCCAATCAGGAACTGGGGTGGGTCCCGGCGAGCCGCGAGCGCCTTCGCCGGGGTTGTTGACGTCGGCACCGCCCGACCGCGCCGCAAACGCCGCCGGCCGGCATCCGCCAGCTGGCCGGGCGTGATGACGTAATTTGGCCCGTTACCCGCATGGCTGAGGGCCCAGATCCGTTGAAATGGGGTCAGTCAGGCCGCCGCCGCGACCGGTTGGCAGAGGCGCCGCCGCCAAGGACGCGATGCGCGCGCGCGGGAACGTTCGAACGGGCCGGGATGGGACGGGACGAACAAGGATGTCCGGGGCGGCGCGGCGAGAGGGGCCCAAGGCCCAGAGAGTTTGAAGGGAGGGGAACGGGACGACGACAGGGTTGATATCCCTCGCAACATCAGGCAATGACCTCTGGAGGGAAGGCAGGTGTGGAGATGCAATGGCGGTGTACGCTAGTCATAGCCAACTTCTTTGCTGGTCATGTTATTTGCAGCGTGGTCGTGCTATGTACATCCTTAACTTATTGTTGCAAGAATGGATGTACCTAGAGACCAAATGATACCGCACATCAAGCGACATCATCAGAAACTGATCTCCCAGGACTCAGTCAGTTTTCGTCAGCCAGTTTTCAGTAACGCCACCCCGGCGAGTTGTCTGATAGTCAGTCAGTTTTCGCATGCCTTCGATCGGTTTATACCCTTTGATAATACCAGCGTCCTGAACATGGGGAAACTGGCGGTAGTTTAGGTCGGTGGCACCTTTCTAATTTACTTGGATGGATGTCGGTTGTGCTGAGCACACCATCAGGCTTGATCAATGCCGTTTCAGGCAGCAGCGCTCAAGCAAGGGCTGCATACGTTCGTGTTACACTGAGGAACATATATGGTTTCTTTAAGAATTTGAGCTGGTGCTAGTTTTGCATTCAACATAAGCAACAATGATGTATACATGCACATTGGTGTCCGCAATCGATTAAAACGATCAGAGCGCGTACACATTACGATGTGTGGGCGTGGAGGAGAAACCCACTCCTGGCTGAGATGAAAAGGGCGAAAACCGCGCGTCGAAACTGAGTGCGGCGTGACTGGGGTGCGCGGTGCGTGACAGCCCTGATTTCCCTTTTAGACCAGCGCCGCACCTCAACCAGATCACACACTCCAGGCGGCGCTCTCCTCCCGTCCCGCCAGCGCGGGCGGAGGCGATCAGGTCAGAAACGCCGGAATCATGAATGCCTGGCGCTCCTCCAGTATCGGCAAGTGGAATTGCTCGATGGATTGCGTTCATGCAACGAGCTCACAGCTCTTCTCGACGGCTCCGTGAGCTCATGATGTGATGTTTTGTGTGAGACCGGTGCCCCGGATTCAGCGCCGTGCGGCAGTTCGGTCTTCCTCTTCAGCTCGGTCTTTAGCGGGTGGGGTCGGCCAAGTGGTGACCGCGGCAGCCGTGCCAAGTCGCGACCGCGACAGCCGTGCCAAGCCATACTTATATGTGGCTCACATACGAATGCAAGCTGATTTCACGTTTGGGATCAACTGAGGGGGCCACAACGCCACTGAAAGAACTAGGAGTTCTCCCTAGCATAAACAATGGAGTCGTTATTTCAATGAAATGCGACGGATTGTGGCGAGTGTGATTTACTTGAAAGTTAAAAGAGCAGCGAAATCAAGCTGCTTTCTCCCATTAGAATTGTGTTTGTTTTTTTATTTTTAAAGGCGATGTTTACGGGAACAGCGAACTTTGGAGCAATTGTTTGCTCACTTGTGGCTACATGATGACCACGCTTCGATAAAAGTACAGAAAGAACGGTTGCGATCAAGTGATAACAAAATGCCCACACCATTCAAAGCATTTCACCCGCTTGAAACTATCAAGAGATGGATAATCGCAGCCGAATGGCGATAAATAATCACCATCCGGTCATCACGCTCAATAGCTGCACCGTTTGCTGCAGGACGCACCGACAGCCTAACCGCCCAATTGCATTGATCCACCTCATGATACCACGCGGTAAACGGCCGGAAACTTTCGAACAATCTCCTTCCCTTTCTATCGACGCAAAACATCCCGACTGGACACATTAGTCGCCAGGCGCGTTAAAGTGGCCCTCTTTCACCGGTGCCGGGTCGAGCGCGCTCCCTGCTCCGCTCTCTCGCCGCGGGCAGCGCTTCGGTGGGCCGCTGTACGACGCGAGGCCGTCGGTCAGCTGGCGTCCGATGATGGGTCAGCTGACGTCGCGGCGGCTGGGCGCGCCCCGTGAAAACAACCGCTCTCGACCGGTCGGGACTAACGGAAGCCACCACGTGTCGATCCACATGTCCCTCCGGAGCGGCTGGTGAGCAGCCTGGCCAGTTTTTGTCGGCCTGACGCCGTCATGAGGCTGACAGGACAGGCTGAAGGTCTGCTACAGCAGCGGTGTTTGGCACGGAAGGAAAGACAAGTCAAACGCGTAAATTTTGTG